ATTAATTTTCTTAACTTTCCTCAAGTTTCATTAACTTTTCTCAACTTTCCTTAAGTTTCATTAAATTTCCTTAACATCCCTCACGTTTCATTAATTTCTATTAACTTTCTTCAACTTCCCTTAAGTTTCATTAAATTATCTTAACATCTCCCAGGTTTCATTAATTATTATTAAATTCCCTTAAGTTTCATTAAATTTCCTCAACTTGCCTCAAGTTTCATTAAGTTACTTAACTTTCCTCAAGTTTCATTAACTTTTCTCAACATCGCTCACATTTCATTAATTTATATTAACTTTCCTCAACTTTCATTAAATTTCCTCAACTTTTCTCAAGTTTCATTAAGTTTCCTCAACTTCCCACAAGTTTCATTAAGTTTTTATTTTTAATTGGAACAAAATACGAATATTCATTGCGTAAAAATTTTAATAATCTCTTAAACACTAATATCACAGCATTAAAATATCAAGAAAATATATACAAATAAATTCAGATCTATCTATGTACAAAATTCTAAGCTAAAAGCATCACCAAGGCCTCCACACGTTCTCCTGATTGGCAGAATTATTATACTTCTCGTCCTGCTGCTGCGGAGGAATCACGAAAGCCAAATCACCGTTTCCCAATCTCGTCGGAACCAGCGTCAGACCGACCTTCAACCTCTGATCAACAACGTTGCAACTGCTGTCCGCAGCCCTGATCATCACCTCCTCTTTGCACTCCTTCATCATCATCATCGGCGGACTCTGGCACTGAACGCGATTCAGGTGATTCTTCAGATTCTGAATATAAGTGACGGTCATCTCCAAGATATCAGCTTTCTCCAATTTAGCGGTTCTCTGCGAACTGCCACTTTTCTTGCAAGGAACTTCCTTCAACGAAGTCTTCGACTCCAGTAGGATCTGCTTCAAAGTTTCAAGGCTATCGTTGATCCTAGCCCTGCGCTTCTTCTCCATCAAAGGTTTGCGGATCTGATTAAAAGAAGAAAAGATAGAAAATTAGCAAAAATATTCGAATTTGTTTAAAATTTAAATTTTTGTTCTTAATAAACAAGTTTTGAAAACTCACTTTTCTCGGTTCCATAACTTGAGAAGGCATCTTTTATGATTGATTTGCAAAAAACGTCACTTAAATAAATCCACAGAATATCCTCGAAACTGAACACTTGGTAATCCACAACTTAATGTTGTTTGTTGTTTTTTTTTCTTGTTGAGCTCCTCTACTTCTCGAGATGCTTGTGCTTCTGATTCGGTGTCTTCGGATGGTCGAGTTTATATAAGGATCCGATCCCCACCAATACCTGCATCCTTGCATATACCTGCCCTTTTGTGTTGTACATTTTTTCTCTACTTCTTCTTTGCTCCATGAATGAATGGATGCATGAATGGGAGGACTCAATGGTTAGGGATCTACCTCACATTTGCATTCAACTATTTTACTATTTATTGCGCTAATTTGTATAGTGGATGGATAAGAATGAAAGGAAAAAAAAACAACTACAACTGTTCGGACCTTCATAAAAAAATATATATATTTGTGGTCAAAAAGAAAATAATGTAATTTGATAACATTTTATTTCTTTCAATTTTTGTAGATTTTTATATGAAAATTGGTATACAATACTTATTGAATATTTGGTTAAGGAAATATTCACTCTATTTAGGGAAAATTCCATTTTTCATGGACAAAAAGAAAATTATTTGAAAATCAGAAAAATGGTAAAAAACATTATTGATTGCAAATATGAAAATATTTAAAACTAATCATGCTTTTTTTTAAATCAGTAAAAGAATAATTATTATTACTGATTTTCATATCAAAAGATGCGAAATTAAAATAATAAATATACAAAAATGTTAAGAATTTTCTCAAGTTATAACAGAAGATTGATATTATTCACAAATTTGGTAGTAGGCTTATTGAAAAGGTCTTTGTTTTGTCCATAATTTCCATATTTGATGTTTCAGTTACTATTTATAGTTATTGAGTAGTTATATAAAAAGTAAAGTCAGTTCATAATAAAGAATAATTTTATTGGCAAATTTTGACAAAATAATGTTTATGGTTACAAATTACAAATGTTACATTGGAAATTCTATTGTTTTGTCATTAACTTGTCATATTCAATGACTTAACTAGTATGCATAGTTATTGAGCAATTATATGAAAAGTAAAGTCAGTACATAATGAAGAATAATTTTATTGGATAATTTTAATAATTTTTTACAGAATAATGTTAATGGTCCCAAATTTCCTTCCAAGCTTATTGAAAAGTCCAGAGTTTTGTGTATACATTTCATATTTGCTGACTTAAATAGTATGTATAATTATCAAGTTATTATATAAAACGTAAAGCCACTTCATAATGAAGCCTAATTTTATAGAATAATTTTGATATTTTATTACAAGAAAATTTTAATGGTCACAAATGTCTTTATATGCTTATTGGAAACTCCATAGTATTGTCATTAACTTTCATATTCAATGACTTAACTAGTATGCATAGTTATCGAGTTATTATATAAAAAGTAAAGTCACATAATGAAGAATAATTTTATTGGAAAATTTTGACAAAATTTTTACAAAATAATGTTTATGGTTACAAATTTCTTTACATGTTCATTGGAAATTCTATAGTTTTGTCATTAACCTTCACATTCAATGACTTAACCAGTATGCATAGTTATCGAGTTATTATATAAAAAGTAAAGTCAGTACACAATGAAAAAAATAATTTTATTGGAAAAATTTACAATTTATTACAAAGTAATGTTAATGGTCACAAATTTCTTAACATGCGCATTGGAAAGTCCTTAGTTTTGTCATTAACTTTCATATTCAATGACTTAACTAGTATGCATAGTTATCGAGTTATTATATAAATAGTAAAGTCAGTTCATAATGAAGTCTTATTTTATAGAACAATTTTGATAATTTATTACAAGAAAATTTTAATGGTCACAAATGTCTTTATATGCTCATTGGAAACTCCATAATTTTGTTACTAACTTTCATATTCAATGACTTAACCAGTATGCATAGTTATCGAGTTATTATATAAAAAGTAAAGTCAGTACACAATGAAGAATAATTTTATTTGAAAATTTTGACAATTTAGTAACAAAATATGTTAAAGGTTACAAATTTCTTGACATGCTCATTGGAAAGTACATAGTTTTATCATTAACTTCATTATTCAATGACTTAACTAGTATGCATAGTTATCGACTTATTAAATAATAAAGTAAAGCCACTTAATAAAGAAGCTTAATTTTATTGGACAATTTTAATAATGTATTACAGGATAATGTTAACGGTCACAAATTTCTTTATTTGCCCATTGGAAATTTCATAGTTTTATCATTAACTTTCATATTCAATGACTTAACTGGTGTGCATAGTTATCAAGTTATTATATAAAAAGTAAAGCCAGTTCATAAATAAGTCTAATTTTATAGAACAATTTTGATACTTTGTTACAAAATAATCTTAATGGTTACAAATATCCTTAAATGGTCATTGAAAAGTCCATAGATTTCTGTTTAACTTTCATATATAATGACTTAACTAGTATACATAGTTATCCATGAATTATATAAAAAGTTCAGTCAGTATTAACCCTAATATTATAGAATAATTTTGATAATTTATTACAAGAAAATATTAATGGTCACAAATGTCTTTATATGCTCATTTGAAAATCCATAGTTGTGTTATTAACTTTCATATTCAATGACTTAACTAGTATGCATAGTTATCGAGTTATTATATAAATAATAAATTTAGTTCATAATGAAGTCTTATTTTATAGAACAATTTTGATAATTTATTACAAGAAAATCTCAATGGTCACAAATGTCTTTATATGATCATTGGAAACTCCATAGTTTTGTTATTAACTTTCATATTCAATGTCTTAACTAGTATGCATAGTTATCAAGTTATTATATAAAAAGTAAAGTCAGTTCATAATGAATCCTAATTTTATAGGAAAATTTTGACAATTTATTCCAGGATAATGTTAAAGGTCACAAATTTCGTTATATGCTCATTAGAAATTCCATAGTTTTCTCATTAACTTTCATATTCAATGACTTAACTGGATTGTATAGTTATCGAGTAATTATATAAAAAGTAAAGCCAATAATACATAACCAAGCTTAATTTGATAGGACAATTTTGACAACTTATAACAAAAGAACGGTAAAGACTACAAACTTCGTAGTATACGTGAATAAAGGCTATAACTTTGTTTATAGTTTGCTTTTTATATATTCTAATTAGCATTCAAAGGTTTGTATTAATCAAATAAAACGTGGATACACAACATTTTCAAACTTTGACAGCTTACTTGATTATATATATAACTATATTTTTTAGTAAACTAAAGTAAATTGGAAACGAGTATAGTAGATGAAGTATAGACAAATTGTTGATCTTGAGGTAACTTTTTGTTGTTTTAAACAAAATCAAAGAAAAATCACGCTTGATGAATCGAGGAGCTCCGACGTGCATTGTGTGAAAAAGCGTGTTCTGGAAGCAAATAAAAATATTTCACGCTCGACCGGTCACGCAAACAACAAGAGGAAACCTTTCCTAAAAGACTCGGACTTTTCCATCTTCGTCTTACTCCTTCCAAATCAAATGCGACTTGCAACTTTGTCTTTCTTCAATCGCAAAACTCTCGAACTCGAAATATTTGAATGGAGGCGAACGCATGAATGAGTCCTTCTTTCTTTTTTGTTTCCTTCTTTTTAGTGGACGAATGCAAAAGGTCGGTCGGCTAAGATCAGGAGGGAGGACGTCGGGCACAATTAGTTGGGAATTTCTCGTCGTTTAAAGTTTCGTGTGATAAATGGTGTGCATTGGATGTGTTTGCATGCACAGATGCACACCTCTTGGGGGCGTCCATTCAATTCAAATCAATTGACTTTAATATGGTCAAATTGCTTAAAAATACACACGCACACGTACTCTTCAGAATTCGTGCAGAATGAGAGAGAGAAAAAAAGGGGACGAACGGAACGGACGACACAAGGAGGAAAAAGTTCGCACAATGCGAATATTCATCATTTCATAAGTAATATGTCGAATGCGGGATAGGCGGCATGGGTAGTTGAGGTTCTTTTCTCTAAACACAAAGCCAATTTCTACCAAATTTACAATGATTAATTACTTTTACAAACTAGTTTTAACATGATTTTCATCATATTTCATAAATTTATTAAGAAATACTGGTAAATGTTTACATTTACTACTACTACTTATTTCTTATCCATCTATATATAGTAAATGCATGTAATTGGTAATCAAATGAAAACTATGCATGGAAATTACTTGGCAAACTTCATGTAACGAGTAGTATCGAAGGGGAATCGTCAATCTTCGGGTAGATTATTGTAGTCGTAAATCAGTAAACTTTTCCGTCCGCATTATTATATTAAAGCGTAATTTAACTCAGATTTAGTTTAATTGAAACATTTAAGAAAATAATCTATAATTTAACATAAACACACAAACAAGAAATGACAGGAAACACACATATCTGTTAATTGCTATGTTAAGTAATAGTTAAGTACAGTCTATAAATATGACAGCTGACAACTTACGTCAAAGTGTCAAAAAAGTGTATGTATAGACAATTGGACCGCTGTACAATTACAAATATAAAGCTCCACTGTAAGTTTTAGAGTCTCTAAACTTCTAAAACTATGACAGCTGTCAAAGTGTCAAAAAATGTATGTTATAAACAATTGGACCGCATGTCAATTAGACACATAAAGGTGCACCCACACTATAACAAGAAAAATTGACAAGACAAACATATATATGTCAATTTATATGTTACTTGACAGTTAAGTTTTAGAATCTCTAATATTTCTCAAACTATGACAGCTGTCACCTTACGTCAAAGAGTAAATAAAATTATATGTTATAAAAAATTGGACCGCAGTACAATTAGAAA